AGTTTCAGCTGTACAACACACTGCAATAGTTATACTTTTTACCCCTTGACGTGACAACCCCCCTCCTTCAATCCACCGCCCCATTTCCCCCCCCAATATCATACATATCTATTACAATTCCCTTGACTCCACTCCCACACTATACTCCACATCCCGTGACTATATATATGTATTCACTTATAGTTGACATACAATATTATACAACATCAGCTTCAGGTGTACAGTGCAGTGATCAAGCCTCTACCCCATCCATGATGTGGTCTCCCTAGCAAGACGTGACCATCTGACACCCTACAAAATATTTACAACATTATTAATTATATTCCTTGAACTGTCTTTCATATCCCTGTGGCAATACCTATTTATGCTGTCTAATCCCTTCCCTTCTCCCTCATCCCCACCCTCCCAACTAGCAACCATCAGTTGTTCCTCTAGATCTCTGAGACGATTTCTGTTTACTTTGCTCGTTCATTCAGTTGAAAAAAATTTTATTGTTTACTTTGTATATAAAATTTATTCTTAACTAGAAGAAGTAGAAAATCCCTCAGTTAAAACCAATTGTCAGATATCTTTTATGCCAAAATGCAGACCTTAATGTGTATCTCTTTTCCAAATAATTACCTCTCTTCTTACTTTCCATCCCTCAACAAGAGAAATTTACTGCTGCTTCCAATTCCTCTCAACAGTGTTTTGTAGTTTTCAGTGTACAGGTTTTGTACATATTTTGTTAAATTTATCCCTATGAATTTAATTTTTTGGGTGCTGTTGTAACTGAAATTGTTTTAAATTTTTCATTTTATGAATGTTTATTAATTATATGTGGAAAGATAATTATTTTTATTGTAGTAAAAAACCCATCATTGACCAATTTTAAAGTGTAAACATCGGTGGCATTAATACATTCACAATGCTGTACAACATCACCACTATCTAGTTCCAGAACATTTTCGTCACCCCACAATCAGACCCTGGGTCCATTAAGCCGTCAGTATTACTATTCCTAGTCCAACCTCCCTCCAGCCCTCAGCAACTACTCATCTGCTTTCTCTCTCTCTGGAGCTGCCTATGCTTGATAACTGCATATACATGGAATCATACAATATGTGTTCTTGGATATCGAATTTCTCTCATTTAGCATTTAGCTTATCCATTTTGTGGCACATGTCGGTACTTTATTCCTTTTCATGGCCAAGTAACATTGTATGGGTAGACCATGTTTTGTTAACCATCAGTTGATGGACATTCGGTTGCTTCCTCCTTTTGGCTATTGTGAATACTGCTGATGTGAACATTTCATTTACAAGTTGTTGTTTTTTTTAACACCTGTTTTCATTTATTATATTCCCAGAGTGGAATCGCATGGTCATGTAGTAACTCTGCATTGAACTCATTGAGGAACTGTCAAACTGTTTTCCACAGCAGGTCCCATTTTACATTCCCACCAACATTGTGTTGAAGGTTCGAATTTCTCCATATCCTCACCAACACTTGTTATTTTTGTTTTAAAAAAATTATTATAGCCATCCTAGTGTGTGTGAAGTGGGATGTCATTGTGGTTTTGATTTGCATCTCCCTAATTAAGGACATTGAACATCTTTTCATGTGCTTATTGACCATTTATGTGTCTTCCTTGGCAAAATGTCTATTCAGATTCATTGCCCATTTTATTTTATTTATTTTTTTCTTTAGCTGAGCCATCCTGCCACCTGTTGGCAGCTTAGCGGCAGCTCTGTTCAGGCCGGGACTTGAACCACTGTTCCTCAGAGCTTGCACCCTTGTGTGAGCTCTTCACCAAGTGAGCCACTCGGCCGGTCCTCGTTGCCCATTTTAAAATTGGGTTGTTTTTCTGTTTGTTGTTGAGTTGTGAGTGTTATTGTATATTCTGGTTACTAGACCCTTATTAAATATATGATTTGCAAATATTAGCAAAAACCCATTCTGTGGGTTGTCTTTTCACTCTCTTGATAATGTCCTTTGATGCACAAAGTTTTTCATTTTGATGTAGTCCAATGGACCTGTCCATTTCTGATGGAGGGGTGTTGAAGTCTTCAACAATAATAATGGATTTGTCTGTTTCTCCTTGCAGTTCTGTCAGTTTTCGCCTCATGTAGATTGATGCTCTGTTGTTAGGTACATACAGATTATGGATTATGTCTTCTTGGAAAATTTACCTCTTTCATTAGTAATGCCCTTCTTTATCCCTGATAACTTTTCTTGCTCTGAAGCCGGCTCTGTCTGAAATTAACACAGCTATTCCTGCTTTCTTTTGATTAACATTAGTGTGGTTAATTTTTCTCCATCCATTTAATTGTAACCTATATGTGTTTTTATATTTAAAGTGGGGTTTTTTTTGTAGACAATATATAGTTGGATCTTGTTTTTTGATCCACTTTCCAGTCTCTTAATTGGTGCATTTAGACCATTGATGTTCAAAGTGATTTAGTAGGGTTAATGTATACTATATTTGTTACTGTTTTCTATTTGTTGCCCTTATTTTTTGTTCCTATTTATATTCTACTCTTTTTCTCCTTTTTGTGATTTTTGTTGAGCATTTTATATGATTCTACTTAATACTTTATTGGTTGCCTGATAGTTTGAAATATACATAATACATATAAATAATCCAACTCCACTTTTGAATAACACTATATTGCTTTATGAATATTGTGATTACCTTATAACAACAAAATAATCCTGTCCTTCCTCCTATTCTTTGTATTATTGCTGTCATACATTTTACTTATATATAAGTACATATATACACATACACAGAAGATATATACATAAACAAATAATTGCGTATGTTGTTGCTATTATTTTGAACAGACTGTAATTTGTTAGATCAATTAAGAAAAAAATGTTTTTATTTTACCTTCACTGTTTCCTACTCTGATTTTCTTCCTTTCTTGATATGCATCCAAGTTTCTGGCCTATATTATTTTCCTTCTCTCTAAAGAACTTTTAACGTTTATTGCAAGACAAATCTGGCAACCGATTTCCTCAATTTTTGTTTTCCTGAGAAAGTCTATTTCTCCTTCACTTCTGAAGGATAATTTCTCGGGGTACAGAATTCCAGTTGGTGTTTGTTCTCTCAACACTTTAAACCCCACTCTCTTCTTTATTGATGGCTCCCAAGGAGATGCAATTCTTATCTTTGTTCCTATATCAATAAAGTATTTTTCTGCTCTGATTTCTTTCAGTATTTTTTCTTTATCTTTGATTTTCTGTAGTTTGAAAATTATATGCCCAGGTATAGTATTTTTGGAATTTATTCTGCTTGGTGTTTTCTGAGCATCCTGGATCTGTGGTTTCGTGTCGGATGTTAATTTGGGGATATTTTCAGTCATTACTGTTTCGAATATATCTTCCATTCTTTTTTCTGTGTTTCCATTATGCGTATGTTAAATATTTTGCTGGTGTCCCACAGTTCTTGGATATTATGTTCTGTTTTTGTTTTGTTTGTTTGTTTTTTCAGTCTTCAATCTCTTTTTCAGTTTTGGAGGTTTCTACTGATATATCCTCAAATTCAGAGAGTCTTTCCTCCAGCTGTCTCCAATTTGCTAAGGAGCCCATCAAAGTTATTTTTCATTTGTTAGTGTTTTTTATTTCTAGCGTTTCTTTTTGGTTCGTTCTTTTTTTAAATTTTATTTAAGATTTTATTGGGGAACTGGGGAAGGGGAACAGTATTGGGAAATCAGGGAAGGGGAACAGACAAGTTGCTGTCATATTGTTCTTCAGTTTAGTTGTGGAGGATGCCGCTTCACTGACCCATGTTGGTGTTATCATTGCGCTTTTTTCGGCTGAGGAAGTCAGTCTCCGGCCATTGGATGGCCACTCACAGCAGCTCCCACCGGCTGCCAGCCGCTGGCTGCTCACCGCTCACACTGGCTGCCGGCCACTCATGGCAGAGTGACCAGCTCCAGGTTATGCTGTTGTTCACAATCAGCTATAGAGGGAGTAGCATCACTGGTCCATGTGGGAACTGAACCGATGGCCCTGCTGCTTAGAGCTCACGCTCCCAAGCCAACTATTAACCAACTGAGCCACTCTTTGGTTCTTTGGTTCGTTCTTAGGATTTCCATCTCTACTTACATTACTCATCTCTCCTTGCCTGCTGTGTACTTTATCCATTAAAGCCCTTAGCCCAGCAGTTCTCAACCTTTCACAGGGGTTGCCTAAGACCATCAGAAAACACATATTTTCGATGGTCTTAGGAACCGAGACACTGCTCCTCTATCCGTCTCCAGGCTCACATGCAGATACGCCCACATACGAGTACCCGGCGACCCCTGTGAAAGGGTCGTTTGACCCCCAAAGGGGTCGCGACCCACAGGTTGAGAACCGCTGCCTTAGCCTATTAATCATAGTTATTTTCAATTCCTAGTCTGGTAATTCCAACATCCCTGTCATGTCTAGTTCTGATGCTTGCTGTGTCTCTTCAAACTGTGTTTTTGCCTTTTAGTATGCCTTATAATTTTTTCTTGATAGTTGGACATGATGTACTAGGGAAAATGAATTGCTGTAAATAGGCCTTCTGTTATGTAGTGGTAAGCTGTAGGAGGTGGTGAAGCATTCTGTAGCCCTATGAATACCAATGGCATTTTTCACACAACAAGTAATCCTAAAATGTATGTGGAACCATAAAAGACCCTGAATAGCCACAGCAATCTTGAGAAAAAATAACAATTCCTTTCTTGTAGTCTAATCCATATTGTAATTATTCTGAGACTGACATTTTAGGAAATAATTTTCGTACCTCACATTTTCCCCTAGCCATTCACATTAGCATTATTGAATGTTTGCTATATGCATGGAACTGTAAAGGACTAGGAGAGTGGATATGATTCTCATCTCAAATAATTTTTATGAGAAAGTGGAATTTAAACATACATGTGATTTCTACCTTCAAGTTACTTATTGTTTAGATGAAGAGACTACAGAAACACTTGAGAAGTTTCATAGTAAAATGTAATATATTTTTTTCCTTTTTCCCCCTCCAGGTTCCTGTTGCACGTAAATCTTGTCCCTGTGGTTATGTATTTATTAATAGGAAACACCTGAAAATAAAACACTCAGAGAAATCATCACCTTTTACAGGTAATTGTGAGTTCACCAACTTTCCATCTTTTATGGTTTCTATTATATAAATTAAAAATTATTTTTTGTGAGTTAAAAAAATTTTGCTGGTGAAGTTATAATATTAAAATCTATTGAAGTACATCTTTAGCTTTTATTAGATACAGTAAGTCAATTTATGATATTGATTTGTTCTTTATCCAATTTAACACCTTCATAATACTGATAAGCTGCAGTAAATTTTAATGAGAAATTTTAATTTGAAATTGTTAACTAGAAAAGAGGTACTTGGTTTTAGTATTGATATAATTTTTTTTTTTAAAGATCCCACTGGGGAATTGGGGAAGGGGAACAGTGTTAGGGAATTGAGGAAGGGGAACAGCCAAGTTGTTGTCCTTCAGTCTTAGTTGTGGAGGGCGCAGCTAGCTCAGCTCCAAGTTCAGCTGCCACCTGGCCGCCCATCAGCAGCTCAGGGCAGCTCAGCTCAAGGTGTCTTTTCAATCTTAGTTGCTGGTGGGCATAGCCCACCATTCCATGCAGGAGTCGAACCAGCAACCTTGTTGCTAGGAGCATGTACTCTTACCAACTGAGCCATCCTGCCACCTGTTGGCAGCTCAGCTCGGGCGCACCTCACCGACCCATATAGGAATTGAACTGGCAACTCTGATGCTCAGAGCTCGCGCCCCTAACCAACTGAGCCACTCAGCCGGCCCTTGATATAATTTTTTAAAGTATCAATTATTTTGTTCAATTCACTAGTTTATCTAAAAAATTACTGATTTTAATTTTGTTTGAGTTAGTAGCTTTTTCTTTAAAGTTGACAAATCTAGATTTATTTAGTAAGTATATTCAGAGAAAGTGGGTTTTTGTTACTCTTATTTTTTTCCTATATAAAATAATATGTTCTAACAGTAGTGAACCCAAAATGGGAGTAGATTTATTACAAACATTTATTGAGTGCCTAACATATGCCAGGTACTGTATATCTTGGACACACAGCAATAAATCTACCACCAAGATAGGTTCAGTAATAGTGGATAAGGGACTTGTCATAGCTATCATAGTGGATAAGGGATTTGTACCCAGAATATATAAAGAATTTTTATACCTTCGTAATAAAAAGAGCAATGACCCAATTGTCCAAAAGAATATATACAAATGGCCAATAAGTACATGAAAAGATGTTCAACATCATTAGGGAAATGCAAATCAAAATCACGAGATGCTACTTCATACCAACTAAGCTGGCAATAATAAAAAAGAGAAAATAACAAATGTTGGTGAGGAAGTGGAAATCTGAAACACTCATACACTGCTAATAAGAATGTAAAACAGTACAGCCACTTTGAAAACAATCTTACCAGTTACTCAAATGGTTAAACATAGAGTTACAGTATGATCCAGCAATTACACTCTTAGGCACATACCCAAGAGAGCTGAAAATATAAGTTGACACAAAAACTTGTCCATGACTGCTATTAGAAGCATTATTGATAATAGCTATAATAAAAAGCGGGAACAGTCCTGATGTCCAGGAACTGGTGATAAACAAATGTGGTCTATCCATAAGATGGACTATGATTTGACAATAAAAAGAAAGGAAATACTGGTATGTGCTACAGCATGAATGACTCTTGAAAATGTGCTATGTGAAAGAAGCCAGTCACAAAAGATCACATAGTGTATGATTCCAATGATAGGAAATGCCCACATAGGCAGAATCATAGATAGGGAATAGATTAATGGTTTAGCGCTGGGAAGGGAATAGGAAGAGAATGAGGAAGAACTGTCAGTGGGTTTAGTTTCTTTGGGGGACAAAAATGTTCTAAAATTAGACTCACAAACCTGTGAATATATTAAAAACCATTGAATTTTACACTTTAAATGGGCAAATTGTATGGTATGTGAATTATATCTCAATAAAACTGATGTTAGGAATAGCCAGGATAACACTAAAAAGAAAAACTATGAATGTTGACCAGCCCTATCAGCCATTAAAATATAAAGCCTCTATAATGAAAAAAAACCCACAACATTTTGATGTTAGCATAGCCAAATAGACCAGTGGCAAAGAATAAGTACAGAATCAGACCCAGATTCATATGGAAAGTTAGTATATGACAAAGATGGTATTTCAGATTACAAGAGTAAAATGGACTTTATTTTTTTTTAATTATGGTAAAATATACATAGCATTATTGTAACCATTTGTAGGTGTCCAATTCAGTGGCGTTAAATACATTCGCAATGCTGTGTACCCATCACTACCATTTATACCTGAAACTTTTTCATTATCCCTAACCTAAACTCCATACCTATTACACAATCTCCACCTTCCTTCCTCCCTCCTCCTTCTAACTCCTGGTTTTCTATTCTTTCTGTCTGTATCAATTTGCATATTCCAGATACCTCATATAAGTGGAATCATACAATATTTGTTCTTCTGTGTCTAGCTTATTTCACTAAGCATACTTTTCTGAAGATCTATCCATGTTGTAGCATATATCAAAATTTCATTCCTTTTTGTGGCTGAATAATTTCCATTTTATACACACACACACACACACACACACACACACACACACACACACACATACACACACCACATTTTGTTTATCCATTCATCTATTGATGGACCCTTGGGTTGTTTTCTCATTTCAGCTATTGTGAATAATGCTGCTATGAATATTGTGTAAGTATCTGTTTGAATTCCCGGTTTTAGTTTTTTTGGATGTATACCTAGGAGTGGAATCGCTGGGTATGCCAGATAATTACAAAACACTTTAAAAAGCAGGGAGGAATATTGTTAAAGGACATGGAAGCCAACCTGAAGGAGTTCCTAATCGCCAAAGCTGGAACAATGTGAGCAAAAGAAATAGTATCATTGGATTATAACCCATAGAATAATAAAGTAAATATCAGTCCAAACTGATACAAATAAAAACTTGGGGGAAAGAACAGTTCTTCTTTATAGTAGAATTCCAGGTAATGACTGTGGAAGGATTGAGGGAAATAGAAAATCAGCATTAGCTAAACAGAGTAATAATTGTTGCAGACAAGATCTACTCATGGATGGAAATTAGTGAGTGAAAATTTGAGGAGAAATAAAATTTGTGTAGCATCAAAGTATTCCCCCAGATCTTCATTAACCACAAAGGGAAAGATATAATAATAACTTTACAGGGAATGAAACTTGCCAAAATTTACCTTAATCAGTGATCAAGGTGCACATCACAATAATAAGACATACCGACGTCATGAAACCCATGACATGATACACTGAAAAGGACATATCATTTTTGTGTATTCTTGCCAAAAATGCATAACCATAGTCCAGTCATTAGAAAACATCAGCCAAACCCAAATGAGATACATTTACAAAGTAACCGATCAGTTACTTCAAAAGGGTCAAGGTCATGAAAGATAAGGGAAGACTAAGACACTGTCAGAAAGTGGAGGAGACTAAGGAGATGTGACAACTAAATGTCACGTGGGATTTCTTCCTTTCACAATGTCTGTTCTTGTCTAATGGAATCTATTTCTGTGTTTTCTCTTTGAACATTTAAGGCATGTTTCAAAATGTGCTATTTTAACTTGTCTTAAAATGTCTCTGTTTCAGATTGTTCCATTATTTGTAAGTAGTTCTGAGATACGAATTCCACTCATGTGTCCCCTTACCACAGTGGCTTTGAGTCCCCCTCCCTCTTTTATGCATTTGGGAAATTCTCTCTTTTGCTTTTGGATTTAGCTCTGTAGTAAAACAAGTTTTATTTTTTGGTTGTATATTAACTAGCATGTTTGTTTGAAGTGGAAGAGGTGGCTTCTTGCATCAGATAAATCTATATTAACGGGAAACGTTTCTCCCCTATTTTTATTCCATTTAGGAGCAATAGGATAAATTGTTTTTAGTATATTAGGGGCCAAAATAAAGCTACTCACTTTCCTAATATTTATCTTATAGTTGAAATACATATATTTTGTTTTTTTGGTAACAATATGTTATGGTTGAGGTCAGATTTTTTTCTGCTTTTGTAATAGATTAATTATTGACCTATTTAAAGTAGTTTAATTTAGAATTTAAGTGAGGGCAAAAAGGAGTGGAGACCTTTTTTTTCCACTTCACTGGAAAAAAAAGCAGAGGGGAGGCAAGAGGCAGAAGAGTTGCTGTAGAGGAATATGTACTTCTAAGGGGCTGGAATTAAAGCTGCTGAGAAAGAAACCTTCCCCCTTACTACCCCAAGATTTTCCCCAAACATTGTCCAGAATTGAATTCTGCTAAATCTCTTTCCTTTTTTTCTTTTTTTCTTTTTTTTTGCTTTAAAAACACTTTGGTGGGTTTAGGAAACATGTTATGGTGGTTGGTTTTAAAAATGCACTAGGCAGTGGACTCTGTGCCATTTAGAATAAGTGACTGGCAGAGGGAAAATGCGAACTTAGGCAAACAGTTCTTTCACATCCCTAAAACATGTTATTTTTATTGATCTACACCAAAATTAAGTATAAAGCCAAGAAGAGTGAATAGAGAAGTGAAAGAAGATAAATTCTGTAGTAGGTGTAGAAAACATAAAAGAGGTTGTGAAGCAGTGGCCATTCAGATCATGTGAAGCAGGGAAGAGGAAGACCTGAAAGTGCTGCTGTCAGAAAACATAAGAAACAAGTATTTGTCAATCCATTATGGGAGAATTTTTTTCCCAAGTATTAAATTGATCTGAGATCTTAATTTGATAGTACTGAAAAAATTGTTTGGTAGGCTCCGAGTTCCTGGATTTAAAAGCACAACTCATATTTTGGTTCAAAGCATTTCTTCTAATTTAAAATTACTGGAAATTGTATATTCCTATTGGAAAACCTAAAGCCTTAAAAGTAATAACCACCTGGGGCAGCGGGTTAGCTCAGTTGGTTAGAGTGCAGTGCTCATAACACCAAGGTTGCCGGTTCGATCCCCACATGGACTGCTGAGCTGCGCCCTCCACAATTAGATTGAAACACTGCTTGACTTGGAGCTGATGGGTCCTGGAAAAACACACTGTTCCCCAATAAAAAAAAAAAAAAAAAAAAAAAGAGCAACCGCCTGACAAAGATGGCAGCGGAGTACAGTGATAAAAACATGTATCCTCCAAATGAGATTGCTGATACCTTACCAGTTGAAATCTCACCATGATTCGTAAAGATGTCAGCTCTGTTTTCAGTTGTGTTGTTTAGTATTCATCTTGATGTTATGCTCTTCAGTTTTCTTTGATGTTTGAGTTTTTATTGTTTACTTTCTCCACAGATGTGAACAATACCATATCTTTGAAAGATTTGCGAATCCTTTTTTTATATGAATTTAAACTAGGACATAGTGCAGCCATGGCGAGTAGAAACATCATTTCTGTCTTTGGAGAAGGCTGTGTTAGTGAAAGGACTATCCGGTGGTGGTTTGAAAAATTTCGCTCTGGGGATCTGAGTCTGAAAAATGAGCCTCGAGGGAGACCCAGATCTGTTTTAAATGAAGATCAGTTGAGAGCCATGGTGGAAGCTAACCCCAAAACAGCAATTCGAGGCCTTGCGGCAGACTTAAGAGTTTCTGCTACAACAATTTCCCGACACCTGGCAGCAATAGGAAAGGTGAAACAATTGGACAGGTGGGTAACACCAGTTGATGGATGATCATAAACTGTGATGGTTAGAGATATGCTCATCCTTTAAGATTTGAAAGAGCAGAGACCTGTTTTGGAGAGCAATATGAGTTTTGACAAAAAATGAAATTAAAAGTGAGCTGGACAATGGTTGGATGTTAATGAAGTTCCCAAACATTTGTTAAAACCATCATTGCAACCAAAAAAGGTTCTGTAACTGTATGGTGGTGTGCAAAAAGGGTATTTCATTACTGCTTTTTAACCCAAACTGCTTTTACTGTTTTAAAACTAACAATAGCATCTTATTGTCAAGAAGTTGAAATCATGTATCAAAAACTGATCTAAAAGCACTGTGCATTGATTAGCAGACATGGACCTATACTTTTCCATGACATTTGATCACAGAAATCACAGACCACTATAAGGAAGTTAACTGCATTGGACTAAGAAGTTTTGCATATCCATCATACTCATCTGACCTTTTTTCAACAGATTACCACCTTTTTTTGTCGTTTGTAACTCTTTCTAAGAAACAGGACATTCTCCAGTTAAGAAGCAGTAATTGAAGGACTTAAATAAATTTTAACAATAACGAATTTTATAAATAAGGTATATACATATCACTTAATATTGGGGGAAATTTATCATTTGGGGAAAGCAGTTAATGCTAGTTGTGCATATTTTGGTTACATAAAGCTTTTGTTTTTCTCAAAAATACAACATTTTCATTTTGACCTGCAAAAAGGCAATTTCATATGGTTCAGTCTGATACCTCCCCAGACCCTGGCAGAGCATGAAAACTGAGAGGCACCTAAGATACAGGAAAACCACATGCTGCTCCTGCGTTTTGGGTTTCTGCAGGGAGGAATGTGGAGAGAGAGAGAGAGAGAGAGAGAGAGAGAGAGAGAGAGAGAATTAATTCCAAGAATTAAGGACCATGGGACGCTTTACTGCAAATTAAAAAACAACAAAAGCAGTGATGTCCTTTTGGGTAAGAGCAGCCCTGCACTGTGACACAAGCGTGGTGAGCAGAGCGTTGGGTGCTTTCAGTCCTGATTTCCTCCCCTGGCTGAATGCCCTTGTCTGCAGTCACTTTATTTTTCTGCTCCATCCTTGGGTTTGTCAAGGAATCTACTCAGTGTTTGTGTGGACTTGTGCTTACTCCCAAGAGAGCGAAGCTTCTGACTTGGCTCAGGCTGATAGGAGGGTAACAGGACTAAGACCAGATGCGTGGGAATGACTTTATTCCAAAAGCAGTGCAAGGCCGTGCCTAAACAGTCCCAGGGCCAGAGCAGTAGGTTGGCTAGTGTGAAAGAAGGCGGTGGTATGTACTTACTTAGTCTGGATGGCAGTTGTTTTATGGCCATCACCCTCCCCTGAATTCTCAGACCCCTTGTCAAACTTCAGAGCTGGAGGTTGGACTTTGGTCACAGTCATATCACATGAATGGTTTGGGGATGGGTAGGAAACTCACACAGAAGCAGCGAAACGTGATGAGACAGAAAAAGGAGCGGTTAGAGGATGCTGAGTTATCCTAGCGAGCGTCCCTTCCACCTCCAGCAAGTGCTGTGGCCCCGAGAGCAACAAATGGGCCCTGTTCTTGTGAGCACGTGGATCCAACGGGGCCTGGAACTGGCACTGAGTGGTTTGTTATGTGAGCCAGCCAGTACCCTGCTTAAGCCATTCTGAGTTTGAGTGTTCCATTTTGGCAAAAGACAGACTCCTGACTGATCTGCTCCTTGAGCTTTAAGAGGAGGCTCGTGATACCATGGTGCAGGGTTTGGGGAGGAACAGGGACAGTTAATGTAAAGCAGGGGCACGGAGTTGATGCCTGATAAGTAGTCTTTAGTGCTTTGAGAAGGAAAAGCACAGGAGGCAAAGCAGGGCGTGGGACCTCTCGGGAGGCCCCTCTGTGTCCAGGGCCGGCCAGCGCTCAGCAAGGGCTGTTCCCAGTTGTGGACTGTCCAGACGTGCCCAGCTGTGAAGGAGGCTGGGCTTGTGAGTGACTCTGAGCCTGTGGCTTTTCTGCAGCGAGTGTTCCCTGACCCAGTGTGTTATTGCCACGGAGGAGGAAAAGAAAGCCCTCTTTCAGGACAAAGAGGACGCTTCTCACTCTCTTTGTCTTTACTTGGTGATTATTTGTACCTTTTTTCTTTTTCTTTTTTAAAGATTTTATTGGAATTCGGGGAGGGGAACAGTTTTGGGGAATTGGGGAAGGGGACCAGCCAAGTTGTTGTTCTTCAGTCTTTGTTGTGGAGGGCGCCAGTTGCCACCAGGTTTCCCATCGGCAGCTCGTGGCCTCTAAGCTCAAGGTGCTGTGTTCAATCTTAGTTGTGGGTGGGCATAGCCGCCATCCCATGCGGGAGTTGAACTAGCAGCCTTGTTGTTAAGAGTGCATGCTCTAGGACCGGCCGAGTGGCGCATTGGTTAAGAGCTGGCTTGGGATGCCAGAGGGCTCTGGTTCGGATCCTACATAAGAGGGCCAGTGACACTGCCCTCTACAGCTAAGATGCTGAACAACAACAGCTCAACCTGGAGCTGGGCTGCCGTGAGTCGCCAGTGACGGCGTAGGCTGCAGCCAGTGCTGCAGTGGATTGCCATGGGCTACCATGTGTAGCCAGCAGCCAGCGTGAGTGGCCAGCAGCCGCCGTGAGCGGCCATCCAGAAGCGGGCGACTGATCTGCCTCACCTGGGAAGAGCGCAGTGATGGTGCCAACTTGGGCCAGTGAAGCATCGTCCTCTACAACTAGACTGAAGAACAAAAGGACAGCAACTTGTCTGTTCCTCTTCCCGCAATTCCCCAGCACTGTTCCCATCCCCCAATTAAAAAAAAAATCTTAAAAAAAAAAAAAAGAGTGCATGCTCTATCCATTGAGCCATCTGGGCAGCAGCTCAGCTCAAGGTGCCGAGTTCAGTCTTAGTTGTGGGTGGGCGTAGCCCACCATCGAGCAGGCAATCTTGTTGTTACCCCAGCTGAGCCACCTGCCACCTGTTGGCAGCTCAGTGACAGCTCAGCTCCAGCACAGTGTCACTGGCCCATGTGGGAATCAAACTGGCAGCCCTGTTGCTCAGAGCTCGCGCTCTTAAGCCAACTTTTAATCAACTGAGCCACTTGGCCAGCTCTGTACCTTTTTTCTTTCTTTCTTTTTTTAATCATAGATTAGATGGAGTGTAAATGTTGTAAACAGAATTAACACAAAATGAATACATTTTCACCATGTGATCATCACCTCTCCATTGCTTTGGGAAAGTTGGAACTAAAGCTTTGAATTTATAACTCTTTAATTTAGGAGCCACATTGGATTTTAAAGAAAAATAAAAATTTTACAAACACAAAAATCTGCCAAGCATCCCAGCGCTCTCATTCTCCTTTCCCAGAAAAGAAAGAAAACCTTTAAAAGTCTCTTTGGTAGAAACTTTGGTTTGAGTGTCAAAATAAAGGAGTGGAGATGGAAGCTGCTACATCTCACCCCCCAACGTTCTCCGCCACCCCCTTATCACCAAGCTACCAAGAGGTAGCTTGGGTCCTAATTATAAAAGGGAATAAAGAATGGCTTTGAATAGCCATTTTGGTTGATCAAGTATCTAGTACCTGTTATTAAGGAAGCTCCTGCCTGGTCTAATTGCTTACTGTGAGACTAGAGCACCTACAGCACCAACAGCTCGGTGAAAGGTCATGAGAGAGTTAGGAACAGCGTCAAAAGCCAGTGGAAAGTGGGTTCCTCTGGCACCTGTCCTCGGTGTGTTGGATTCTCTCCCCCTTTCTGCCAGTGCTTCACCCACAGTAGCCTCCTTTCGCTTCCTTTCACCTCAGCTCATTAGCCCATGCGGTTCTTTCTGAGTATTTTCTATGCCTCTTCACCTTATTAACTCTACCCATTGTGCACTTTTCCTCTGGGAAGCCTTCCCTGATTGCCCCACCCCATCACAGGTCAGGTCCCCATGACAATGACCTTAGAGCCCCAGTATTGCTCCTTCATAATCGTGATCACAGTAGTAATATATTTATTTGTGTGATACTATGTATTTGTCTACTGTAATAGATTGTTAGAGTCACAACAGCAGGGACTTTGTTTTTTTTTCTTCTCAAGATTGTATCCTCATCAAGGGCCAAGACCTAGCACATAGTATGTACCTAGTACATGTTAAATGGATGAAGAAATGTTAGGCCAGCTTTATTCACTTTGTAGAAAACCTTTGTGTTGTTATCAGTTTAAGTAAGGAATATGTTTGACAGCAAATAATTGAAAACCTAATGAACAGCGAGTGGCTTAAATAAGTAGGTATTATTTCCTATAACTTATGAAAATATTCAAACATACAAAATATTTGAATTTTATGGTGATCACTGGTATGCCAAGCACCTAGGTTGTACCATTGACGTTTTACTATACTTGCTTTATCACTTAGTATCCATCTTTTTTTTTTCTTTGATACATTTCAGTGTAAGTTGCAAGCATTAGCACATTTCACCCTAAATACTTCAGCATACATGTCATCACCTAGAGTTCATATCTGCTTAAGGTTCTTGTTGAGGTAAAATTTAAATTTAATAAAATGCCCAAATTTCAAGTGTGTTATTCAGTATGTTTTGACTAATGCAAACACTTGTATAACACAGCCCCCTATTACGATACAGACTTACCATCAGTCCAGAAATTTCCTTCAGACCCCTTACATTTTGTCCTCACCCTTACCTATGAAGCAAACACTGCTCTGATTTTTTTTCTACCATAGTATAGTTTTGCCTGTTGTAGCACAGCATATAAATGAAATCGTACAGCATGGGCTCTTTTGTGTAAGACTTCTTTTACTAAGCATGTTTTTGAGATTCATCTGTTTTATTGCATGTGTCAATGATTCATTTATTTGAAAAGGGGGTTCTATTAAATGAATATACCAAAATTTATTTATCTGTTTACCTGTATGATAGACATTTGTGTGCTTCCTTCCACCCCAACATGGGCCTATTATGAATAAAGCTGTTACAAATATGCTTGCACAAGTCTTTTTGTGGACATGTTTTCATTTCTCTTGAATGAATACCTAAGATTGGAGCTCCTGAGTCATAGGCTGTGTATATTTAGTTATCCTAGACCTTTTTCCAAAGCGATTACACCATTTTATACCCCCCTCACTAACATTTGATGTTATTAGTTTTTTAAATTTTATCTTGATAGGTGTGGAGCTGTATCTTATTCTGAGCTATTTTCCCCCTTTCACATTATAAGGAATTTAGGGAGGCAGGCCGTGACTGAGGTAGCTACGCAACAATGCTTTTGGGGACCCAGGCACTTCCTGGCTTTCTGTTCATTCTTCCTTGTGGATTGATCATAACTTCATGCATGGCACCTGGGTGGGCAGCCTCTCCAATGGCTCCCTGTGACCCCTGCCTAATTCCCTCTCATTGAGTGTGGGCTGCACTTAGTGACTTGCTTCTAATAGGATACAGCAGGAGTGATAGCATGCTGCTTTGGAGGTGGTTATGAAACACGTGGCTTCTGTCGTGTGCTCTCTCATTCTTTCTCATCACTCATTCTAGGTGGAGGCAGTTGCCATGTTGCAAGGAAGTTCTGTGAAGGCCCCACTGATGAGGGTCTGGGGCCTGCCAACAGTGACACGAGTGAACTTAGGAGTGGGTCTCCCCCTGGTTGAGCATTCAGGTGAGACTGCAGAATGACACCTGCATGTCTGACCCACGGACACTGAGATAATGTGTGTTTTTTTAAGGCACTAAGTTTTGGGGTAATTTGTTATGTAACAACAGATAACTAATATAACACCTCATGGATTCGTCATAAGATGGCTGCCACACCTTCAGAGCCACATGTTCATGCTTCCGACAGTAAGTAAAAGTGTGAAAGGCAAAGAACAAAGTTTCCTTGACATGAATCTGTTCATTTTCATCAGGAACCAGAACCTTTCCAAAAACCCCATTCAGCAGACTTTGGTTTATATCCTATTGGCCAGAGAGAACACCACATGACCATGGCTACTTACAGGTGGCTAGAGAGAAAGGGGGACCTTGACGGAGCTGCGTCGGCCAACTGTCAGTGTGTGCCACATTAACCACTTCAAAAACCCCACAGAGTTAAGACCTTTAAACGCCCACTCCAGCTAAGTAGCCATTTTGGGAGATTTCCAGAAAAAGGACCTATTCAAATGAAACTCAGAACTGCTCAGGGCCTGGATTGCAGGGTGTGGGTGCCTACGTCAGGCCCTACACCATTCTTCTTGGGGAAAACTAATGTAGTCTTCCTCGGCTACTTCTAATCCTCCAGTCCTTTGCAATAGAAACGAGAGTCATCTGGAAATGTCCCTGACCACCCCCTAACTCAGCCAAATAGCTCAAGTTTTGCTAATTCATGGCCTTTTTAAAATCCCACCCCTCTCCTTTACTGTCCTTCCTCTCCTGTACTTCGGGTCTGATACATGAGGTATTTTGCTGAACGAAGCATTCTCAACTTCAAGTCAAATCCTGTTACTCCCCAACTTAAAACCCTTATTGCACCACTGCCCTCAGGATGAAGCCGAGTCTCCTTCCCAGGAGAGCAAACACTCAGCACAGGCGGATATGGCCCACCGCTCCAGCCTTAACACTTTGCCCTGCCCTTGGGGTACCCACAGCATCAAACTGCTAACCTCCCAGTCTTTGCTTACACTGTCCCATCTGGTAGGTCTCCACCTTTGATAGGTCTTCCCCTCTATTGAGCAACTCCACCTGACATCCTTAGGGATTCAGCTTTGGAGACAACTCCTCTAGAAAGCTCTCCAGGACTACCAACTCCCTAAATAGTGGGTCAGGTGGCCTCTTCAGGAGCTGTGTACAAATCCTTTTCCCCTTTTGGGGGGAGAAGTCCGTACTAGGTTGACCTAGTAGAAAGTTCAATACAATAGGATACGGAATGGAAAAGAAGTCTTTCTATCCCTGCTCTCCAGTTCCTTTTTTGTTTCTTAATGCATATTATATACTATGTACTGGGGCTGCCAAAAATATGGATACACATAACTTGTATTCATGTTTTGTTATCGGTATAAGAATCACAGTTTTAATATAGTTTTTTCCTTTCTTAAAATGTGTATACAGGGCTGGCCTAGTGGTTCAATTGGTTAAGAGCTCACTCAAGAGTGTGAGTTCTGAGCAGCAGCGGTTCGATTCCCAATCTGAGCTGAGCTGCTGCTTAGCTGCCAACAGGTGGCAGGATGGCTCAGCTTAAAAAAAAAAAGTACACATTTTTTGGCACCCTCTGTATATAGTGCATACTTTTTAATGCATAAATATATTTTTGTATTTTTGCACAATTTTAAACAAGATGTTTAGTACCTTGTTTTTCCAACTAGCTATTTTGGAGATCATTCTATCACTCCATATAGATCTAGCATTCTTTTGAAGAGCTGTAATGATATTCTGTTGTATGCATACCTTAATTTGCTCAAGCAATTTGGAGCACATCTAGGCTGTTTCTGATTTTGCTCTGACAAGTAATGCTACAATGTGCAACATCTTTGCGCAAATCGATTTGGGCACAGGTGGAGAATATTTTCAAATTCTTAGGGATGGGATTGGTAGGTGGATTTTAAATTTTGATATAATGTTCTAGTCAGCCAATTTACTCTTCCCATCAAGAGTCTAACTATTGCAATGCGCATTTTGTAAGGACAGCTCCTAGTATTCACATTTGTCTGGCAGAATTGGCCCGCAATAGATACTAGACTTAACGAAATTTATATCTCGCAGCGCCGAGCCCAGGCTTGGCATGTAGCCGACTCGTCAGATATTTATTACAACTCTTCAGTGATTAGACTTGCTAACATATACCGAAGTTAATTAAATGCCGGGCGCTGAGCGCTTTACCTTGCACCTCTCTTCTCTCCTTCTCCTTCCTCCGGGAGGAGGCGTGCCCAGTACCTATCTGCGTTCTGTGCAGTCGTTGGTCGAGCCTGACGCCCGTCGCTGCCAAGTCCCGCTCAAGCCACGCCCCCACGCCGACCGCACGGCCGGGAGAGGGCGTGGCCATTGTCCTGCCGGAGGGTCGGGACCTTCTCCTCTCGTGAGAATCGGGACGCGCTCGAGGGCCGGCCCTGGGTGGGTGGCAGCGCGGTCCGCTGTCCCACGGAGCAGCTGCACGCCGCGCCCCGCCCCCTCGGCACGCAGGCTCCGCGCGAGCTCGCGCACGCGCGCGCGCACCCGGCAGCGCCTCAGTCTGGCGAGCCGGGACCGGGCGGGCGGAGGCCGGGCCGCTGAGGTACGAGGGGAGGAGCCCGAGCCGCCGCCGCCGCCGCTGCCGCCGCCGCCGGAGAGGAGCATGTCCGCAAGTCGGGCCAAGAAAGTGAAGATGGCCACCAAATCGTGCCCCGAGTGCGACCAACAGGTGGGCGCCAGGGCCGGGCGCGCGGGCTGCGGGGCGGGCGGCTGTCGGCGGCGGCCGTTGGCGGCGGCGGTTGGCTGCGGGGAGGCCGCCTCGCCGGGGTCCCGGCGGCCGAGGGGTGGGCCGGCCGTTGGGCTCGGCGGTGCCGGAGGGAGCCCGGACCCGGCCGGGCTGTGCCGAGGGGTGGCGGCGGCAGCGCCTGGGGCCGCAGCCCGGCCGGTGCGCACCTGGCGGCGGTCAGCCGGGCGAGTGTCTGTGCTGCGGCCGGGCCGCGCGGAAGGGGGCGTGGGCTTGTCCCTGAGTCGCCCGGCCGGCTCCGGGTGACAGCGGCCCAAGGGGACGAGCACGGTCCCTTCAGCCCCCCGTGCCCCTACGAGAATGCCCGATGTGCCCAACCCGAGCACGGGGTCGTGGCTCCGAAAGCGCCCTCCTGTCGCGGAGGGTGGCTTTGTTCCCATCAGCTGTGCACGGAGGACCCCAAAGTGTCCCCACCGCGACCTGGGCGGGCGCCGAGATGTGACAAAAGGGGCCGCGATGGTTTTAAGTTTTGGGCGATTTTGGAGATTTGTTTTGGTAGTCGTTATACACTTACTACATTTTTGACGTAAATTATCGTGAATTCTTTCTTTACATTGTTTCTAATGGAACATTAAACAACGCCCCCATAAAGCCCTTCCCTTCTGGGCGCTCCTCACTCCCCCCCCCCCACGGTGTCCACTCTTAAAAATTCGGTGTTTCTGCTTCCTGATCTTTAAAAAAATAATAATAAAAATAAAAAAAATATATATATGTATATGTATGTATATATGTATATACGTATGTGTGTGTGTGTGTGTGTATATATATATATATATGGTTTCGTGAATTGTAACTGACTGCTTTCTACACAGAATTAATGGTGCCGGAGCTGTATTTTAAAAATTCTCATTTTACTGTTTTTAGTTTAAGCGTGCCTCTTTTTTTACTAGATTAATAGAGGTTCCTCAAAGCTTTACAATCTAGTGAGTTAAAACTCACAATTAAAACCATTCGTAAGGCTCATATTTCATGCTAACATGCAGATCTGGGTGTGTTTTTTTTCTTTTCCACTGAGAGAATTTTTTCAAAATGACTACCTCTCTCCTCCCCCTTTCCTTTTTTTTTTTTTGATTAGGAGTAATTTGAAATGGCTGGAGACTTTTAATAAGCTGGTTTTAGTGCATTCTTTAAGGAGCAATCTGATAGGTTGATCAAATCTTGTGACACAAAATGTTACATGTTTTATTCAACATCTTTTATCGGCTGTGGTAGAAATGCTGATCAGAGGAAGATTGTGCAAAGAGAATTATAGTTTATTGATCTTAGGAGTTTGAATATGCATTATCAAAATAATACCGTCATGTTTTCCAAAGTTAAACTTCCATTTTTACCAATAAACTAAATTTGTTAAGTTCTGACAAAATTGGACTTCGCAATTGAAGTCTCTTTGCTGGGGTGTATTTCAATATTTAAATCATTTCCATTTGTTCCAATTAATTGTGCAGAAGTGTAAGGTTTACATGGTATGCATTATGCATTCCAGTTTCTGTAGGGCACAAGTCATTGCAAATCCTGACCTTGTTTTACTTGGCATAAAGTTACCTTTTGGGAAAAATAACCTGTTTTTGATATCCTGGTTAAAGAAAGAGGAAAGGATAATAAACTTGCAGGAGTCCCTGTAACTGTTCAGCAAAACATCAGCATTTTATTTGGAAAGATGACATTAATTTTGTTTTACACAGTCTCCCCTCTGCCATAACAAAATATCGTAGATTGGGTGACTCAAACAATTTATTTTGTCACAGCCTGTATTCAGGATATCCCAAGATCTTGGCAGAGAGAGCTCTCTGGTGTCTCTTCTTACAGTGGCACTAATCTCATCCTGAGGACCCCACATCATGACCTCATCTAAACCTAGCTGTCTCATCTTCAAATGCCACCACATTAGCGGTTAGGACTTCAATATATGAATTGGGGGTGAGAGGGCACATTTCCGTGCATAGCAAGCTACTACATAATTTTAAACTGCTGGTTTGCCTTGTCCTTAAATACTTAGGAGAATATACCTGAGGACTAATTAAAATTTTTGGTGATTCCTAAAAACAATTTACCTTTTACTAAAAGTAACTGAATTAAAAAAAATAATAGATTAATTTTAGCACTTTAATTACTTGAAAGTGCAAACATCTTATAAATGAGGAAAAAACAATTATAACTCAGAAAGCCATTTTTTTAAACAACATTAGAATACTGCTAATACAGGCTAATTGCCTTGCAAATATTAAATTAGAATTTATTATAAATATAAATGTAAAATCTTTAAAGTTTGAGGAAATTGCCCCAGTTGAATAGATATACACATGTTGTGTGTGTGTGTGTGTGTGTGTGTGTGTGTGTGTGTGTAAGTGTGTGTAAGTTTAAAAACCAGGTACAGAGAGCAGGAAACAAGAAAGACCTAGGTTTTTAGTTGCTTGATAACATCCCCTTTATGTGCCTCTACTGAAAATATAGTTGTGAAACATCTAAATAAACCACAATATTTTTCATTTTCAAGGGGGTTTCACATTCACTAAACCCAAATTACTGAGCCATTTTGTATGTAGTATAGTATTCATGGATCTTGTTAATTTTCTGATATCTTTTGTGTATGTTTATGTTTTGCCTTAATTTTTTAGAAATAGAGCAGCTATTTTTTTTTCACTTATTGGAAATTTTATGCGACATATAGTAAACATATCCACTATAGGTAACTTTACTTCTCTTAGCAGCAAGTAATATAAATGAGTTTTTTATAATGTGGTTATTTTTGAGCTTTTTTAAATCAGTGAAACAATATAGGACCAGGATTTTGTTTATTGCAGGTTTTTACCTGTTTTATTTGTAAAACATAAATACATTTTTCAAGGAATAAATTGATGTACAATAAGCCATGAGTAAACAAAACTTTGGACTTTTTTCCATTTTAAATTCCTGAAAGTATAGCATTAGAACTTTCATTACCATTCTTTGGCATTACAACTGAAATTTGAATGAAGTTTAGGCTGTTTGTTTAAAATCTAAATTACACTATAATGTAAAGAGATTAATATTATCGAAGTTGTCTCACCTATTTAATAATTCTCTTTATAGGATTTGGGTTGTGGTGGTGGTTGGTTGGTTGTCTTTTGGAGTTTGGCAGATGGGAGGAAGGATCTTTCCATTTTTAAAAGGACTTTAGGGTGACTTAGCTCAGGCACATTGAATGTTTCTTGAGCATAAAACACTTGAATTAAGGGATGAAAATTAACCTATCAATTTGTCAGTGTTTTTTGCATTTTTCATCCCAAAGCCAAATGTACATTTCTTACCTACCTGTAGCACTCTCTGTTAATTCTAGATATGGGTTGATACAGTTTTCTTGTGCATAAGACAGAAACCTAAATTTAAATTTATTGAGTTTCAGTAGCTGTAAGAAAATGCTTGCTGAGTAGCAAAGGATCTGTTGAATAAGAACATCATGTTTTCTTTGTTTTTTAATGGCATTAATTTAAAACAATTTATAGTACTGTGGATCCCCTTAATGATGAGTTCTAAGTGTAAAGGAAATGAGTCAGTGTCTTTGAGCTTGGTTTCTATGAAGATGTGAAATTTCAAAAATGACAAACATATCTATTTTGGGCAGATTTTACACTATTAAAGAATGTAATGTTACATTTCCTGTCATGGTTTGAAAGAATCTCATCACATTTTTAATAAAGCAAGCTATTAGACGTATCTGGAGTACAGTTATTTTTATAGGATTTATTGTTATTTTTCTTAAATACAAACTAGAGATCCTTTGTTCAATATTTTTGTGCAAAGAAAAAATTCTGCCAAAGTTTTAATTCAGCTTAATTAAATCAAATATTTATAGTCTAGAATATGAGGCATTCTGTACATACATGGATAAAAAGCCTTTTAATTGTAAATAAACTTTTACATAAGCAGAACAATGATCAAATGGCATTTATCTTACAAAGGGAATTGTAATTTTCTGGCTATTCTGTGAGTATTTGTTGTTGAGATTAATTTCTGGTTTTTGGTTAACATGTCTTGATTCCAAGAATCATTAAGGTTAATATTAGTGAAGAGATTATTGGGGGAAGTGTACAAATTTCTTTAATGCTTTTCAGTAACATTTGGCTTTTAAAAAATATTTATAGACATGAAACGGAGAAAGGAGCCACTTGTATTTTACAGATTTAGAAACAGAAACTTTAAGAGCTTAAGTGTTGTCAACCAATGGTCGATGGTCGTTGGAGCCAATTCAACGCCGGCATTAATCCCCAGTTTGGGGTGCAGTGAAGAAAGAAACTTAATTCAGTGCAGACAACTCAGTTGTGATACAGCACGGCTGTGGAACAGCTTAATAGTGTTAAAGCTCAATTATGAAGCAGGATGGCTGTGAGGTGACCCTGGGGAGAGGCCCCTTTCTGACTAGACAGTTCTGCCTTGCTCTGCTCTGCCTGTTCTTTTCCACTCTGGTCTGGCAAGATGTCCTTGGTGATGTCCTTGGTGTTTCGTCTTTGGTGTTTCAGCTCCAGCCAGGGAAACATACCGTATTTGCCGGCGTAGAAGACGATTTTTTGGCCCTGAAAAATATGCCTCCAAGTGGGGGGTCGTCTTATACGCCAGGTACACTTCAGATAGACTGCCCATAGTGCTTGCCCCGTGCCATAGTGGCCTCCCGATGCCCGCCCACTTCATTCCACATACCGTTCAGGCATCAGCAGCGCTGCTGGGTGTATGCTCGGCTGTTATGCGATTTTACCACACTCGCAAAATCGAACACAGCCGACCATACACCCAGTATGATAGCGCAAAATCGCGAATCGTGATTTATGTATATGTTTGATTACGTACAGCCTTGTGACAGTTTTCCTGCATGTCATAAGCATTTGAATATAAATATAAATGTTGAAATCAAATCTGATATTGTTTTACCTTTTATTTGGTGTGTGGAAGGTGTGCGGAAGAGGGGGTAGTCTTATACGGCAAGTATATAACAAACTCTGTATTTTGAGTGGAAATGTTAGGGGGTCGTCTTATACGCCGGCAAATACGGTAGTCTTCAGTCATCAGTGGAAAGGGAAAGTGTGCTCTCTGAGCCATAGGGGAATTGACTTATATAGAGAAAAGTTCCTGCCCCTGGTCCCTGATTGGTTTGTCCTCATGCAGATGAGGACTCCAAATCCTTGAAATATGATTGGTCCAAAAAGTACTGTCCTGATTGGTCAGAATGGATCCTCTCTGATTGGTTGATGAAGATGCTGATGGGGATAGAGTTATGCAGCTCTATGTGGCGGGGAAAACCTCAGTCCTATTGGTTAACATACAATTCCAGGAACTCCTTTATAAGGACTGGCTCAGATGGCAGGAACATAGTGTAGCCAGGCAATTCACTGCAGGTTTGTTCCTCCTCACTGCAGTTTGCATGAGAGGCCCCTATGTAGAAACAGTTGCTAGGTGGTTTTTTAAATTTGAGCCCAGTTAGCTACCAGGAGCCCTTCTTAGTGTAGGTCTCTTCTTTCTCAGGGTCCACATTGTTTTATCCGTTGTCCTCCCTGGAGCTGAGACTGTGTGATCCTAGATCTCAACTCCTATATTCTCTTTTGTTCGTATTACACTTTTGCCACCTCCAACGGTTGCTGTAAACTATTCTTTTTTTTTTTTTTTTTTTTTTTTTTAATTGGCATCTTACCTTCTCATGTTAGAACCTGAGTCATTTTCAGTTCTTTCTCCCTTTTGAAATGTTTGGCAGATCATCTACCTTTTCTCCATTTCCATTCTCAGTCTTTTTTTTTTTAAGATTTTATTGGGGGAGGGGAACAGCCAAGTTGTTGTCCTTCAGTCTTAGTTGTGGAGGGCACAACAAGCTCAGCTCGAAGTCCAATCATGCCACTCAGCTCAAGGGGCCGTGTTCAGTTAGTTGTGGGTGGGCATAGCCGCCATTCCATGCAGGAGTTGAACTGGCAGCCTTGTTGTTAAGAGCACGCGCTCTGTCTCCTGAGTTCCTTGGGTGGCAGCTCAGCTCATGTGTTTAGTTGCAGGTGGGCATAGCCCACCATCTCAATCAGGCAACCTTATCGTTAGGAGCACGTGCTCTCACCAGCTGAGCCATCCTGCCACCTGTTGGCAGCTCAGCTCGGGCGCAGCTCACTGGCCCATGTGGGAATCGAACCGGTGACCCTGTTTCTCAGAGCTCGCACTCTTGAGCAAGTTCTTAACCAACTGAGCCACTTGGCCGATCTCCCATTCTCACTCTTCATTCCAGTTGGGCCCTCATAGTGACTTCTGGGATACTTTAATGACTTCTGAGCCACGTTCCCTTTTCCAATTTGTTCTATATAAACTGCTATTCAAACTAATATTTTAGGAAATGCTACCTTTTTTTTCCACACGTTTTTCCTGGCTCTGACCCTATTATGTTTTTCTATTGGTCACATATTTTTCATTCATTTACTATATCGATGGCTTTGTAAAGCACTAGAATATGAAGATATATAGGACACAATACTTATCTCAAATAATTTGTTGTAAGGCGGTGGGGATTAAATAAAACTATGATTTCTACTTCAAGTAACTTATTCAGGAGACTACATAAACACTGAGATGTTTAACAATAGAAAAATAGTAATATATATATATATATATTTTTTTTTTTTCCTTACAGGTTCCTGTTGCATGTAAATCATGTCCCTGTGGTTATATATTTATTAGCAGAAAACTTTTAAATGCAAAGCACCCAGAGAAATCACCAACTTCTACAGGTAATTGTGAGAGTTTACCACATTTTTAGCTTCTTGATGTAGAAATTTAAAATTAATTTTTATGAGTTTACTATTTACATTTCTGCTTAAAAACTAAAATCTATTGAAGTATGTCTGGTTTTTATTAGGTATTGGAAATCAGCTTATGGCACTAGTTTACTGTTCATTCCATTTAAATGTTAACTCCCTTATAATGCTGATAAAACTTTGTAACAAATTTTCTGCTTTGGAGGATGGAGAACCATTGAAGGGGTTTTAAGCAAGGAAATATATCTTATCTGATTTTAAAAAACAGTTTAATTAAGGTACAATTGACATTCAATAAGTTGCATATATTTAAAGTGTACAGTTTGATAAGTTTTGTTATATGTTTATACCAGTCAAACAATCACCACAATCAAGATAATGAATATGTCTGTCATTCCCCAAAATTTTCTAGTTCCCCTTTGTAATCTCTACTTCTTGCTCCCCCAACCCCCAGACAACCACTAATCTGCTTTCTGTCACTATTCTAGAACTTTATGTAAATGGAATCATATAATATATACTCTTTTTTGCTTGGCTTCTTTCACTGAGCACAGTTTAAGATTCAGCCATGTTGTATATATAAAGAATTTCTTTTTATTGTTTAGTATTTGTATGGCCACAATTTATTTATTTACTGGTTGATGGGCATTCAGGTTTTTATTCTCATCGTGCTGGCAAAATTTGTAACAACGTTAAAGTTTTTTAAACTAGTGACTGGAAAAATATGACTTGATGTAAATATAATTTTTAGACATATTGGTTATTGTTTATAATTCCCTGATTTAGAATATCTAAAAAGTAATTTTGTTTGAATTTTACTTTCCCATTAATTAGACAAATTGGATTTATTCAATGGATATATTTATAAAAGGTGAAATGTTTTACTTTATTTTTTGGTAAAGTCAGAATTTCATATAGTGACAATCCTCAAATAAGAGTAGATTGATTACAAATGTATATTGAGCACCTGCAATGTGCTAGGCACTGTAGTGAGCCTTGGGCATAAAATAATGAATGAATGTACTACCAAAGCAGGTTCACTGTCAGGAGCTTACATTGATGAGGGGAGGAAATAGACAATGAACAAATACATGGAGACTATCAGCTTGTGACAAGCGCCTTGTAGGAAATTAAAATAGAGTGCTGTCCTAGCATGTTACTAGAAGGCTACTTTTGATTGAGTGGTTGGAGAAGGCCTCTCTGAGAAGTGACATTTAAGGTGCGGCTGAATAGGAACAAGGGGCTAGTCATGATTGGATCAGGGAGAACATTGTTGACAGATGAAATAGCAAATGCAGAAATTCTAAGACTGGAAAAACATTGGTATATTTTAGGAACAAAAAGGCCAGTGTGGTTGCAGTGTAGACACTAGGAGCAGGGGAGTGTGGAAGATGAAGCCAGAGGGATAGGCAGGGACCAAATTGTGTAGGGATTTGTAAACCAGAGTAAGAAGTTTGGATTTTGTTCATAAAATGTGGGGAGAAACTATTGCTAGGGTGTGGGATAAGATGAGGGGAAGATGGCATACCCTGATTGGCCTTTAAAAACATCATTCTGGTTGCTGTCTAGAGAATAGTTTATAGGGGTACAAGGTGGAAGTGGGCTAGTCAGTGTGTTAACTGAGTAAGGATGCCAAGTTCAACAAAGTGGTTATAGTAGCAGATGATTCAACCATCATTTATGTTTATGTCCGTTTATCCTGTGTCTATATAAAGGTGGCAGAAAAGTTGTTTCATCTGATTTCTGCCACTGTTCGAGGTTGCTTTCTTTTATCATGAGAATGGACGTAATTTACTGATTCTTAAAGGCTGTTGCTGGATTAGTTATATAGGAGTCATTCAGAGAGCTTGTTAAAAATGTGTTCCTGGGGCTGGCCGAGTGGCGTGTTGGTTAGGAGTTGGCTTGGGACGCCAGTTCTGAGCAGCAGGGCCCTGGTTCGGATCCCACATGAGGGCAAGTGACGCTGCGCCCTCTACAGCTACGGAGTTTTAGCTACTAATGTGGAAAAAAAATCTCTAAAAACACTTAAGAAAAAAGTGCAAAGTAATACTTGTATGAGCTTGTTTGTTTTTGACAATTTTTCTTATGATAAGAACTTTTGAGATTTATTCTTAACCACTTTCAGATATGCAGTAGAGTATTATTAGCTATAGTCACCATGCTATACATATATTCCCATTACTTAAATTTATTTTACAACTGGAAGATTGTACCTTTGGATCCCCTTCACCCATTTTAATAATTGTGGATATACCTTTTTCCTTTTAAAATTTTAATTATAAAACTATAAGGAAAAAGTAAACTGAAATCCTAAATGAGATACAGCAGGTCCTCAAATAATGTCGTTTTGTTAATAACATTAATGAGATGCCATAGGAACTACTCTTGTTTATATCAGTTAGCCTATAGTAAAACTGGATTCATTACGTGGCATTTTGTTTAATGTGACAGAACTTATCGATGATGTTGTGAGGACTTAATGTACTAGTTCATAAAAGCCATAAAAGCCTTCCTCTAAAGGTAAGAAAAAAGGTTTAAAACAGTAAAAAATTGGAATTGTTTATTAGTATTTAACTGTATTCCTCAGTGGGTATAAGCTTTAGGTTAAACTTAGTCAAATAAATAACAGCTTCCCCAATTTTTATTGGGGGAAGGAGAAAAAGGGATGAAAAAATTAAACATTTCAAATTATTCTCTAAGGTAAATTAACAGGCAAAGGCTGATAAATAAGCAGAGAAGTCTATAAATGACATTCACTTTCAGTTTAGGGGAAAAAATGCAGAAATGTTATCACCAGTACCTTTTATAAACTCAAAGTGATTGAACATCATTCAGTAGTAAGTGATTCTGAACTCTGAATTACTTGACAATGAAGGCTTGGTTTTGTTGTTTCAAAAAACATTGTTTTTACATGCTATAATCACTTAAAATTGCTATCCATTCATATATGGAACATAACTTTTATATAGTTTTTATTTTTGATGTTTGGTGAAAATAATGCATAGCATCACCTGTATTTTTAGGCTCATAATCATAGTTTTCATAATGATATCTATATTTATCTTTAAGGCCTTTTTTTATAGAATCCTCTGACTTCCCATTAAGACTGACTTGAGCTCTGCTGCACAGTTGCCACACTAAAATTTCTTTTCAGTATACACCAGGGATGATCTCACTTTTTCTTATATACCATTTTTTTTTTAACCCATGTGTTTTTATTTCTGGAACAGATTTTGCAGAAATTGTTTCAGACCTGGAAAAATGTTCATGTAAGACATGTGGTGGTACATTTCCTATCTTGGATTGTGGAGAATGCCTTTACTTTGCATGCACATGTAAACATTCTCACTCTTCCTCTGCACTCTGTCCTTTCCAACTGAAGGCTCGAGTTTTCAGCCTAAGGCATTTCTTCCTGTTACTTCTTTTTCCCCATTCTCTTTTCCTTCTGGCATCCTCATTGGATGATACATGAGGATCACTATCTGCAGAAAACTTGACTTGACTTGGGATTGGACAAATAGTTGACTTTTCCTATTTAGTGAAGAGAAACGAAGTTGGCACTGGTGGGTCCATGAGATCATCAAGGACCTAGGTTCTTCACTTTCTTCTATCTTGAGAAGATGTGGCTTTCATTCTCATTGTTACAAGGTAGCTGCGATACTTCTGGGCATCCCATAAGCATTCCAAGCAGGAAGAAGAGGGAAGGGCAGAGGCATAAAGGGGCATGCCAGCCATGTTTATCCCCTTCAGAAATCTTTCTGCAAACCTTACCCAGTTCCACTTCCATGTCTTCATTGGCCAGGACTAAATTTCAGGGCCATTTCACCTGCAGGAGTCTTGGAATGTGTGTTTATGTTTTAGCTGGGTACATTGCCCTCTTGAACAGATCAGGATTCTGTTCTTACTGAAGAGGGGGAGAATATTGGGTAGATAATTAGCAATTAGGTCATAGATAAATAGTATGAGATTTCTTGGATCTTTCATTGCTTTTCACTTAACTGTCATATATTCTCTGTTTTGTTCCAGGAAATTTCATTGATCTCTCTTTTTTTGTTTTTTAAGATTTTATTGGGGAATGAGGGAAAGGGAACAAACAAGTTGCTGTCTTTTTTTTTGTTCTTCATTCTAGTTGTGGAGGATATCGCTTCACTGGCCCATGTTGGTATTATCATGGTGCTCTTTCCGGGTGAGGTAGTCGCTCACCGGCCATTGGACGGTGGCTCATGGTGGCTCACGGCAGCTCACGCCAGCTGCTGGCTGCTCACGCTGGCTGCCAGCCACTCACGGTAGCTTACGGCAGCCTACTGCATCAGGGGCTGCAGCCTATGCCGGCAGCCCAGCTCCAGGTCGAGCTGTTGTTCACCATCTTAGCAGTAGAGGGCGCAGCATCACTGGCCTGCATGTGGGATCCGAACCAGGGCCTTGCTGCTCAGAGCTGGCGTCCCACGTCAGCTCTTAACCAACAGGCCACTCGGCCGGCTCTATTGATCTCTCTCTCCAGATCTATGATTCTTGTCTTTATAATTCTGTCCTTATTTACTTTGTCTTTTGGACTTTAATTTTTAGCAGTTCATCTTGTTTTCTGATTGCTTATTTTTCACCAAATCTTACCTTTTTTTACATCTTTTATTGTGATAAAATATACGTAACATAAAACAACATTTTAATTATTTTAGGTGCACAGTTCAGTGGCATTAAGTACATTCATATTGTGTACTTAACCATCATCACCATTCTCCATCTCCGGAATTCTTTTCATCGCCCCAAATGGGCACTCTGTACTCATTAAACAATACACTCCCCATTTCTCTTCCCCTCTGTTCCAAACAACCACTATTCTTTCTGTGCCTGTGAATTTGACTACTATCGTCACCTCCTATAAGTGGAATCATACAATATTTGTCCTTTTGTGTCTGGCTTATTTCAGTTAGCATGATGTCTTCAGAGTTCATCCATGTTGTAGCCGGTATCAGAGTTTCCTTCCTGAATAATATTCTATTGTATGTTGATAACACATTTTGTTTACTCATGCACTGATGGATGCTTAAGGCTTTGTGAATAATTCTATGAACATATCTGTTCAATTTCCTGTTTTCATTTCTTTTGGATATATGTCCAGAAGTGGAATGACTGGATCGCATGATAATCCTGTGTTTAGTTTTCCGAGGAATTGCCATATTGTTTTCCACAAGGACTGCACCATTTTACATTCCCACCAGCAATGCACAAAGCTTCCAATGTCCACATCCTGGCCAATACTTGTTATTTTATGTGCTTTTGAAAATAGCCATCCTAATGGGTATGAGGTGATATTTGTGGTTTTTGTTTTTTTTTAGAGAGATTAGCATCTCTCTAATGATGAGTGATGTTGAACATCTTTTCATGTGTTCATTGGCCACTTGTCTATCTTCTTTGGAGAAATGCCTATTCAAGTTCTTTGCCCATTTTTGAATTGGGTTGTTTTTTGTTGTTGAGTTGTAGAAGTTTTTTTTTTTATTCTGGATATTAATCCCTTATCTGATATATGTTTACAAATATTTTTTCCTATTCCATGAGTTGCCTTTTTATTCTGTTTATAGTGCCCTTTGATGCACAGAAGTTTTTAATTTTTATAAAGTCCAAGTTGTGTATTTTTCTTTTGTTGCCTGTGCTTTTGGTGTCATATCCAAGAAATCATTGCCAAATCCAATGTCATGAAGCTTTCCGGTTTGTTTTTTTTTTTCTAAGTATTTTATAGTTTTACCTGTTACATTTAAGTCTTCAATTCATTGTCAGTTAATTTTTGTGTATGGTATTTTGTATATGACATTTATCACTTATATCCTTTAGTTCATGTTGAAAACGGTGATACTCTGATTTTATCATTCCTTCTTCATTTTTTAGCTGCAGTAATTCTAAAATGAGAAACTTCTCTTCATCTGCCCTTTGGCTATCCAGTGAGTGATACAGTTTGAATAGAAAAGGCAGGATAAATGCTTTATTCTTTCCCTTTAAGTTTTCAAGGTAGTAAGTTGGTTCTTTAGCGTATTCCTATGGTGGCCAAGTAGTTTTTGCTTTTGTATATTGTGTAATGTCCTGTACTCGTTGGTTTTAAGTATATTTGATATGTTTCAATCTAGTACAGTCATTGCTTTTATTGATGCTCCAATTGTCCTATAATGGTCAGTGGGAGCCTCTTTAAGGTAGTCCTTGAGTCTTTTAACAAGACCCTGGTTGTCTTTGATAACTTTCTTGCAATCTGGAATAATTAAATATCTGGTATATATCTGATCTGAGACCTGCAATTAACTAGTTCTCCAAGGATATGGTACTTGGAAATAACTATTACTATTTTACTTTAAAATTAAAAGGAAATTTACAGTAGCCTATTAAGCATATTTATTTACAGTCTTTTAAATTGTTCCACTTAATTTTGGGGATGTGAATTTTCTTATTTGTTTTGTCCCTTTGCCACCATGAATTTAAGCATTTGGGGAATTCTCTCTTGCTTTTGAGTTCAGGTATGTATTAAAGCAAGTTTTTGTTTTTACTTTTTTTTTTTTTAATTTGTTGTTTGTCTTATCCAACGTTCTGATTTGTTTGGAGTGAGAAAGGGTGGCTTCTTGCATTAATTAAACCACCATATTGAGTAAAGTTCCCCTATTCCTATTCCATTTAGGGAATCAAATGCTATCAGAATGTCAGAAAGGACCTCATCTTTGGCTAAAGTCAAAACTACTTCTCGAGTGTTTTTTTATTTTCTATAGATGCTTTCTGTTTACTTTTTATTGGTAACCTTAACATAGTATGGATGAGGTCAGTTTTGCTTCTGAATATTTGACATTTTTTGTTAAAAGATTTTATGGGGGAATTGAGGGAGGGGAACAGCTTTGGGGAATCAGGGAAGGGGAACAGACAAGTTGCTGTCCTTTTGTTCTTCAGACTAGTTGTGGAGGATGTCGCTTCACTGGCCCATGTTGGTATTATCATTGCACTCTTCCCGGGTGAGGCAGTCACTTGCCGGGCATTGGACGGCCGCTCACGGCGGCTCACGAAAGCTCACAGCAGCTGCCGGCCAGCCCCACTGCAGCCTACGCCATCGACAGCAACTCACAGCAGCCCAGCTCCAGGTCAAGCTGTTGTTCACCATCTTAGCTGTAGAGGGCAGCGTCACTGGCCCTCATGTGGGATCCGAACCGGGGCCCTGCTGCTCCGAGCTGGCGTCCCGAGCCAACTCTTAACCAATGCGCCACTTGGCCGGCCCCGACATATTTCAATCTATAATTTGGGTAGGGGCAAAAAGGAATAGATTTTTTTCCCCCTTTTCTAATACTTCACCATTTTTAGCTTGGGAGCAGAGAAAAAGGCAGAAAGTTCGTTGTGGAATTGTGAAAAATTGTAGGGGCTGAAATTAAAGGTGCCAAGTTAAAAAATGTCTTCTGTTACAAGATTCCTCCTACCTCATGTTAATGTGAATCATCTAAATTCTGTTGAGTTTCTTTTTTCCTACATGGATGTGAGGGGCATAGATGTTAATGGTTGTAGTTTTATAGTATTTGCCAGGCAGCAAATTCTAGTGCTATTTAGAAAAAAAAAAAAAGAAGACAATGAGAACTTAAGCAAACAGTTCTTGCTAAGCCCTAAAATATATCACTTTTATTCGTCCATACAGAAAACAAGCATGAGGCCAAGAGGAGGCGAACAGAGAGAGTTAGGAGAGAGAAGATAAATTCTACAGTAAATAAGGATTTAGAAAACAGAAAAAGGTCTCGAAGTAACAGCCATTCAGATCATATCAGACGAGGAAGAGGAAGACCTAAAAGTGCATCTGCCAAAAAACATGAGGAAGAAAGAGGTATGAAAAAATTCAAGCAGTTTTTTTCCCCAAGTATTAAAATTTTCTGAGATCTTAAGTAGATAGTAGTGAAGAAAGTGTTTGGCAGGCATTGAACTCCTGGACTTAAAAATCACCACTCAAATTTTAGTTTGAAAGCATTTCCTCTAAGGTACATGCTTGTTAAAAACAAAAAGAAACCAAAAAAACCAAATTTAATTCTTATTGGAAAACTGAAGTCTTAAATTAGGTAAAATTTACTTTGCTATAAACTGATGATAGTAAAGTTCAGAGATGATCATTTGTATGTGACAGTCTGGAGAAGCCTGTTAAAATGGGTGTTTTTTTTTTTTTTTTTTAGATAAATCTGAGTTCTTCTAAGACTTGCTTCAAACTGTTATACATGAGTTTTAAATTGACTATTGAAAGTGTTCTTTAGCATGAATTTTTAAATTGCTCATTGTGTGCTCCCTACTTTGGATAAACTACTTGTCATTTGTTTTCAACCATTAACTGAAAGCTGAGCTTCTCCTTTTCTTTGATTTATCTGCCTGTTAAAAAAATAATCATGGAAGATGTCAAGGATTATACAAGAGTAGAGCGAATAGTATAGTGAATCCCCATATGCTCATAAATACCTTTTTTAAATTGAGGCTTTCAAGCCAGTAATTAATGAAAAAAAAGGGATAGTTGCTCTTTATAATGCTTTAAAAACCTCTTTCAAAATAACTTCATCTTCAGTGAAATGCATTTATAAGTTCTTATGTTATTTGTGAGTTACGCTTTGCTTTTTCAGGTATTCAAGTATTCAAGCATAAATGTAAATTTCTCTTATTTGAGAATGTTTTACCTGTTTACCACTTCTCTCTTCTTTGTGTGCTTTTATTTGAATAAAGTTACACCATTAGGGAACATTACTGAACCGATATAGCTGTTCCTAACTTTTGTCAAAATAAAGGTTTCTTAATATTGTATGACTAAAGGAATAAGGTTTATATTCTGTTTGTATTGTTGGAAGACTGTACTTAGATACTTCTTAATTCCTTAGGTAATTTTACTGCCTTTTCTCTTTCCTTCTGTTACACTGCTCTGCCAGAGAATTTGAGGGTTTTTTTCTCAATTTGAATGTGCTGCTGTAACAGTGGGATGATCAGGAAATCTGTGCTAAAGACTGTTTCCGAAGGGGAACTAGGTAAAGAAAAGTTAACAGGGAAAAAAGAAGAGAGGAAAAATTGCTTGGCCCAGAAAACAGAACATTCTTTTCAGTTGAAGTAAAGGGAATATAACCCAAAGAATGGAGAAAGGAATGCTTCTGGTGGAGGGCGAGAGGAGATGGGAAAACATAATGACAGCCTTTTAGTTGGGGCGTGAGGTCTATATTGTTGTGCTAAGACTCTGATTATGTAGGTTGAAACTTTTATTTCATGTTAACTTGAGAAAAGAAGCATGTATTTGGCTATAAACTTTTTTCAGGTATTTGCAGTTTATTATAGAAAAGTTTTAAGACAGCTATTTCTAGAGTAAAATATGCTTTTAATTTATTTGCTTTTAATACAAACAGGAAAGTGCTCAAAGCAGTTTTTGTAAAATAACAAATCTTTTGATGAGGAGGAGGGTGAGGACATGATGAGCAGCAAACGTTTTCTGTAAAGAGCCAGATAAGTATTTTAGGTTTAGTGGGCCATACAGTCCCTGACATAACTACTCTGCTCAGTCATTGTAGCTGGAAAGCAGCCATAGACAATATGTAAATGAATGGGCATGTCTTGTACTAGTTAGACTTCATAAAAACAAGTGGTGGGCCAGATTTGGGCCCCCAGGCTGAATTTTGCTAACCCTTGAGGCAGACCATGTTCTCTGAATATAATATGGAGAGGAAATAATGACTTTTGAAGTATCTATATATTTTAGAATAAACTACTTTGATACGCTTCTTAGTGTTAAGTAGCTATTTAATTTAGTTCAGTGTTTATTGATTCCCTGCTCAGAGGGCATTTGAAAAAAGTGAAGCAAGCTTTACCTTTATTTTTATAAGGACAGCCTGACTGTGTGTCTAAGAACACATTTTTAAATTGACTTTATTGTTCTCTATACACACACACACACACATATAGATAGATTTTTTTTAAGTTTTCTCATGGGGAATCTAAACTTTTTTTTTTTTTAAACTTCATTGGGGAACAGTGTGCTTTTCCAGGACCCATCAGCTCCAAGTCAAGTGGTCAGTTGTTGTTTTTTTTCAATCTAGTTGTGGAGGGCGCAGTTGAGCTCCAAGTCAAGTTGTCTTCAGTCTAGTTGTGGAGGGCGCAGCTCACTGGCCCATGTGGGAATCGAACCAGCAACCTTGGTGTTATGAGCCCGTGCTCTAACCACTTGAGCTAACAGGCTGCCCTATTGTTCTCTATATTTTGAAAAGGAATAGGCAGAAGAAAGAGTGGAAAAGGAAAGCCTGTTACATATCTATTATAGATAACAACATATCTTTATAAAATCATGAAAAGAAACCATTGAACAACAATTTTTGGTTGGTTTCAGATGAGTCTTCATTTTATATGTGGAGAATATGTTTATTCCGGATATTAGTAATGTAGTAGTGACATTTTGACTGATTCAAATATATTGGGCAATTCGGAATAGCTTAGTTAGAACATATAAAATGAATATAGACTTCAAGTTAAAGATGGCGGATTGAATAAACGCATTCAGCTCTGTACCCTCCCTAAATCCTAGTAAAAGGATATTTTTAAAAACAGCGAAGTCCCATAAGGACAAGGAATGAGGGAAGCAGCAAAATTCTGGAAAGTGATATCCATGAAACTTAAATTGTAAGCTCCTTTGGGGACTGCCAAGAAAGAAACGGGCTTTTATTGCACAACTGCCTTAAAATGAGGAATTTGTGCATCAGTTATGTCTAGAAGTGTAGAGGTGAAGGTGAGGCTAAAAACAAGATTGTTTGAAAGTCTAGTTTCTAAAATGGCCCGTTAAGGCTGTTTACCTCATTATCCCCTCTCTCCAAGTTTATTATTTGAAAAACATAAGAAAAAACAGAGTCTCTGGTTTAGGGAATACCAGGCTTCATGGAGAGCAGGGATACAATACTAAGATCAGGAAGATTAGGTGAAAATTAAAGATGGTAAATATTGAGTTCTCCATGTCAGGCTTATATCCTCCAGGTAATGGATTAGAAGTATCTTCTCTAGGGATTCAGTAGAGCCCAAGAGAAAAGACCTAAAATAAAGATATTTTTATTAAGGATTTCACAAAGAAAATGGCCCAGACAGATCATCGTAAAGTGATGACCACAGTCAAGTTCCACAGGTGTGCAGGAGCCAATCAGCTTTTTTGGTTCAACTTAAATATAAGCATATTACCAAGAATTACCCAGATATATGGAAGAAAGCATCTAGTATGAAAAGCTAGACCAAATCAACAGAAGAAAAAAACTTGGATACAACAAGTTTTTGCAGGGAGAATAAAAAATCAAGACTATCAATATTCTTAGTAAGAGAAGATATTGTAGTCATGAAATAAGATAATATTTAAAAGGAAACTGCAGATGTCACAAAGTAACTGGAAAATGAACTTTAAAATATGAATCTCAAAAAAATATATGTATATATTTATATAATTTGCAGAAATGAAAAACCATAACAGAAGGCTTATAGACAAAACTGAAGAAATGTACCAGAACATAGAGCAATAGGAAAAGAAATTTAAAAATGGAATGGGAAACGTAAGGAATTTAGAGGACCAGTTTGAAGGCAGCATCTATAAATTATTGACATTGCAGAAAAAGAACATAGAAGATGGAGAAGAAGGAAGTCATCAATGAAATAAATCAAGAAATTTTCCCGGGCCTGGAGGAATTGTTTTCATATTGAAATGGCCCACCAAATTCCCAGCCCACTGGATGGTTAAAAGTAGAGATTATGCCAAAGCATAATGATATTAGAATTAATACAGTGGAATACTACCCAGCAAGGAACAAACCACTCATACACGAACAGCATCAATGAATTTCAAGAACATATTGAACAAAGAAGCTAGACACAAAACAGTACATATTATATGATGCCATTTATATGAAGTTCAAGAACAGGTAAAATGAATCTGCAGTGTTGGAACAGTCATCGCTGGTGGGGTAGGGAAGGATTGACTAGAATGAAGCATGAGGAATTTTCTGTATCTTGATTGTGGTGTGGGTTACATGGATTATGTTTGTCAGAACTCCTCCAATTGTACACTTAAGATCTGTATTTCACTGTAAATTTAGCAATAATTTAAAAAATACTATAAAAAAGTGTTGGGTTTTCTTAAGTAGTACCAGTTATTGGAAGACAATTTTTTGCCTTCACAATACTAAGAGGAAATCCACAAGTTTTTAGTCACCCACACTGTTAAGTCAGTGTGAAGGTGGACTAAAGGCATTTTCTAACATTCACGGTCTCAAGGGAGTGTATGCTACCCATACTCCCTTTCTCAGGAAGTTACTGCAAGATACATGCCATCAAAATGAAGACGTAAACCAAGAAAGTATCCTGGGATCTGGGACCCAGGATCCGACTCAAGAGAGAGATGAGGGGCGTCTCCAGCACACAGTTGAAGAGAGATCTCAAGATGATAATTGTGCAATAGGCCCTGAGAGAAACCATTTCAGGTTGGAGCAGATCAGACTTGGAAAGATTTCTTCAAGATAAAATTGATAGAATAATTTATGTATAAACATTCTGAAAGATTTGTACAACTAGGAGAGGGTTTGGGTTCAATTAGTAATGAAAATTAAGCAGATGAAAAAGGAAAGAGAAATTATTTACATAGTGAGAATAATGTAAACATTGAATATTAATCTCACCAAGATTGTGACATAACTGTAATGGGAAGATGCAAGGGATGAGTATGGTGGGGGCAAGAGATAGAACGCAATAAAATCCTAGTTCTCCACAGCGGAAAGTCATTAATAATGCTTAAAAGCAACCAACAAGCCAAGTAGTAGCAGCAACATATAAAAATGTTACTTAGAGATAGGTAAAAACAAAAAAGAACAACTGGGAAAAAAAATAGTCATTGCACCCGGAGAGTGGGAAATGTGCATGGCAGTTTTGGGTAACAAGTGTAAAAATGATTCGACTCTAAGCTAAGTGCATTTTTAACTTTGATTAAAAAGTGAAAACAAGAATAGACAAAAACAATCATAGTAGAGCCTGAAAAAAGAATTTACTTGTGATTTTAGCTGGCTTATGAGATAGATGATTTCTTTTTTGTTTTTTCTGTATTTAAAATTTTTTCTACCATGAACTTGGATTGCATTTGTAATCAGGCGGGGAAAACTAGAAATAAATGTTGGTTATTCTTATTTTCTATAGCAGGGCTAAGGTGAAGAAGTTAACATATTCATAAAGGAACCATTGATGTTCAGAAGGGACCATCTGTAGGGTGAGAAAATTCATTCTGATTGAGACAGCTCATACTAGTGAGGAGAAAGAAATATTAAGAGATTTTTACAAAAGTGTTGTAGATATTAGACTGTGTAGAAATGTATATAGCCTCCATTTAGTTTTACGATTTAGCGCATGACATTTCAATAAGTCCTTTGTGTAATTTTTAAAAATTTCAGTTCAGTAGCATAATACTTTATAACATTTAATGTATATTGTAGTATTATGTATAATATTTATTGTCATTTAAAGAAATACTTGAAAACTTTAAATTTTGTAACATAATTACTGGATTTACTGCCTTTATATTAATCTTTCCCTTTTGCTTTTAACAGAGAAACAGGAGAAGGAAATTGACATCTATGCTAACCTCTCTGATGAAAAGGCTTTCGTGTTTTCAGTCGCCTTGGCAGAAATAAATAGGAAAATTATCAATCAAAGACTTATTCTCTGATATTTGTCTGCAGAATGTATTGCAACTTTCTTCAGGATTACATCAGCAAATTCTCACCCAGTTATAGACTCTCAGGAGCGTTCTGACGGCATCGATAAGGGCCACTGATTGGTTTTCCCCAGCATTTAGCCTGTGCCACACTTTGGGAGCAAAGCTGTAGGCTTGGACTGTTCTGGAATTTCCTTGTTTGTCAAGGAGTATTGTCAGTGTTTTGTGTTTGGGATATAAGTAAGTGTATTTACAAAAAAAAAAAGATGGCTGATAAAGGTTAAAAGTGTAGGGATGGGAATGGAAATATGAAAACTAGGGAAATAAAATGCTTGATAATTTTTCAGGTTTGCCACCAGAGATGCAATATTTTACATATTTTGAGGAAGACTTTTAAAAAATATATATTTCAGACTTTCAGCACTAACAGATTGCATATATACAATTCATTTACTTTTAATAAATTGGCAATTGATATTTTATTGAATGGGAAATTAAGAATATAAATTGTAAATTTTGTCTTAAATTGATTTTTTTCTTGGCCTTTTATTTTTATGACTGAAGGTATGAGTTATATTTTGGGAGATACTTTCTAGGCAATTTGGAAGTTTGGGTGCTATATGAAGAAAAACATTTAAGGATATATGATACTTTAGATATAAACATCTTGTTTTCTTGAATGTAATTTATTTATTGGTTTAAAAAAAAACCACTTTTCTGCTCTCAAAATGGTGCCTGTTAACCTAAACATAAAATATATTTATTACATGCAAAATATTTCTTAGATAGCCACTTTTAAGCAGTAATGTTTTATCTGAATGGATGTTCATTTATACATCCTAGTAATTATTTAAATTGTTACTTAACCTCACTCTGGAAGAAAAAATAAACCTTAATATTGAAACTAATAGATGAAATAATGTGGTGTAAGCCTCTTGTTCTAGTGAAGTTTGTGAAATATATTTAAATTCTTAATTTTTCTAGTGTTAAATGATAATTGTTTATAGTTGCTTTATTTTATATTAAATGCTTTTGTATTTTTGCGTATTGATTTAATGATTAACATATTCAGACTTGACAAGAACTTCCCTTATTTTAACTACCCTCCTCTGCCAAATCTGTTTAGAAGTCCTAAAGCCTAATTAGGGAAGGCCATCAGTTAGACTTAGCCACCTTAAGAGAATTTCCCTTTTTTTTTTTTAAAAAAAGATTTCATTGGGGAATTGGGGGCGGGGAACAGCGCTGGAGAATCAGGGAAGGGGAACAGACAAGTTGCTGTCGTTTTGTTCTTCAGTCCAGTTGTAGAAGACGTTACTTCAGTGGCCCAAGTCGGCAC